GCTGATAGGAGCCGCTGATAGGAGCCGCTGATACTGTGTCCGCTGATAGTTGATGCTGATACGGAGGATGCTGATACGCAGGATGCTGATAGTACTGAAGCTCACTGATACGGTGTCCGCTGATACGGCTCACTGATACGGAGGATGCTGATACTGAAGCTCACTGATACGGTGTCCGCTGATACAGAAGCTCATTGATACGGTGTCCGCTGATAAGGAGGATGCTGATACGGAAGAAGCTCACTGATACGCTCACTGATACAGTGTCCGCTAATACGAGTTGCTGCAGTAACTGCTTGTCCTCCCCMTAAGAACTTAGAAAAGTGTTATAATTATATGTTTCTGTTATTGTCAAGAATTACCTTCATCATATGTCTGTTTATCAGGGAAATTGCCTTATGCTTGATGATGGAAGTAATTCTACTCAACYGACTAAACGGATTTTGGATTTTCTACCCAWGAGGAGGTACCAGTACGTCATGGATTTTGATACTGTGGTGGTCAGTAGGATATTAGCGAAGTGTACGTACGTAGACTTGTACATGATTTCCTACTGTTGCAAAATTAGTTGCATTATTGATCGGTACCTGCACTGTACTCGTTCCAGTAGCAGGTTGAAAGCCCGACGAGGAATCCTTCCTGCGGCACGGCACGGCAATCGATCTTTAATCTTCCTATCCGTGGTACGTACTACGTATGGTACTACTCGGACTGTTCGTTCGGAAAACAAACGTGCGGTGATGGTGGATTCGATTCCATTCATTCGGCGCGGTGCGTGACAACTTCGGATACTTGGTCGTAAATTCTAAATTCCTGCACGGCCCCTTCGAAGTTTTCCGGTGGAAGTGTGGCACCCGTACGATACGGTAGTACGGTACGACGTACCGTACCGTACGGTAGACTCGTGTCCTGTAACTCACAGTTCCACGAAGGAATAGCGCGCGATTCGCGCAGCCATCTCGATTTAGAAATTTTCAACCCCGCCTCGCCGCTGCACCCTCCTCTTCCCCCCCATTTGATGTTCTCGTGACTGAGATCGAAGTGTTTACAGTACTAGACATGCGGTACCCCACCGTACGGTGCAATGGGAGGTGCACACGCCGCCGTGCCTTTGCACATTGTTTGTCGAGGCGGCAGTGCTCGTTTTAAAGATGAAAGAGTACGACGCGTACGTACGATCTCGTACTTCGTAAAAGCTCTCCCTCTCGTCTCGTTCGTACGGTAGTGTACCGTACCGTACGTTGCGAGACGACAATTCGAGTACTTATGGTAATCGTACTTGATAACTTTAGAATGAGTACTTGGGTACCGTACGAACCGGTACGCAAGAAAAATGATAAAAATGCTCTGCTTTTTTTTTCGGAAAAGGGAACCGAAGCGGAAGATCGATCCACAAAGCAACACCGTACGTACCCGAGGAGTCGTGGTCTCCATCGTCGTCGCCTTGTCCCGTTGACCCTACCGGCATCGATGCCGCAACCCCGGCCGCTTCTCAACAACACAGAAGATACCGGATTCCAAATCCTAGACTCCATCGCCACGAGCAGTACGTACCGTTCCATTGACAAAGAACCATCGATTCGATTCTGAAACACTAACACGGGCAATCCAACCGAGCAGAAGGGAACTTCTGTTCCCGAGTCCCGTACCGCCATGCTTCCTGTCCTACAACCCTCGATGTGCGAGGTCGAAAGCAGCAGCAACGACCACCAACCCATCGGCAACGGCAACGGCACCGTCGAACCCCAAACGCAGAGCCCCACCAGCATCCACGGCCACGGCCACATCCAGCACAGCAAAAGCGACGCCTGGGAAGAGTTCAGGAACGAAACCTCGATCGCCAGCGAGCAGCGGCCGCACGTGCTGTTCGGCCGCTTGCAGCTGCGGGTCCGTTCGTGCTGTCTGAGCTACCGGCGCCACCGGTATTTTTACCGGTCGCTCGTCGCTCTGTGGGCCTGGGCGGTCGTCGTTTCGATCGGCGCGATTTGGCGGGCCGGGGCCGGAGACGGCATCATGGAGTTCCTCTCCATTTCTACGAGACCCCCGGTCGACATCTGCTTCGTCACCGCCCAGTACGCGAGCTCCAGGGACCAGCTCGACAACCTCGTCAATCTGAGGGAGGAAGCCCCGAGGTTTTTCTCCGACCGAAACAGCGACCACTACCGCTTCTTTGCGTTTACCAACCAGAAAGACTGGATCGACGAGTTGCCGGGGACGGAGCCAGCGACGAGCACGAGCACGAAGACAAATCCAAACACAGACGCGAACACAGACGCAAAAACAAAGACAAAGACAAAACCGAAAGACAACGGCTGGACGATACTGGTGAAAGAATTTCCCCCGCACACGTTCCAGCGCTTCATCACTCAGTCGCGGTGGCCCAAGTTCCAGGGCTTCCAGCACAAACAAATCGTACGATCCTGCGACGTGGTCTTTTACATGGACGGAACCGTCCTGCCCATCGGATCGCCCTGGAGGTTCCAGACCGAGGCCCGGCGGATCCTGGACAGCTACGTGCAGCTCTCCCAGGAGCCCCACCCGCACCAGGACGAGGACGGCGGCGGGATCGCCGGGGAAATGAGCCGCTGCCGCAGAAAGGGCAAGGACATCGAATCGAACCTCAAGGCCACGAACGACTGGTTCCGGGCCCAGCCCGACTTTACCAACGACTGCCAGTTGTACCAGAACACCTTCTTCGGGTACGCCGTCAACTCGCCCTTCTTTCGGAGGGCCGCCAACTTTGCCTGGGAGCACTTTTCGCAGGAGAAGGACTCCTGGAGGGACCAGCCCCTCTGGTGCTACACGCTGCACCACTTCGGGATCACCCCCCTGGTGCTTCCCGGAAACCTCTTCCGGTACCAGGCGGGGCGCCGGGGGGGCAACGCGCACAGGCACGACGAGTCGGCCAACAACAACGCGCAGCTCTTTTACGAGGCCAAGACAAATGCCCGGAAGAACGCGGCCGGGGACGGTGCCGGCGGCGCCAGCGACCTCCCCACCGGTGGCAAGCCAGGGCCCGCAGCAACCGCAACGATACAATAAGAGTAGCAAACTAAACTAAAATGGTTCTTTTACCGAGAGGCTTTGCTCAACATGTGTTTGTTACGGAAATGGTCGTGGAATAGCGGCACCGCCTCGTTCGGGGATCTCCCAGAGCGAACGACGCGGTGCTGCTTAGATGGAACGTGCAGGAACAAAGGAGCCGGTGCCGCCCGCTGCGACCGGCGAACACACCAAAAACGAACGAAGGGGGCCCCCTATCCGCCGATGCTTTCCCCGAGGGTGGAGACCAGCGAGGAGCTCTCCGTCTCCTTCGGTGTGGGCGCGGGCGTGGCCGCGGTGGGGGGCGGCCGAAAGACAAAGAACCGGGTGGGTTCGGCCGTGGCAGGGTCCCTGGTCGGGCTCTTTGTGGGGGACACGGTGGGATCGGGCGTCGGGAGGGGGGTCGGCGGAAGGTCGTTGCAGTAGCCGCAGGACTTGCGGCAGTAGTTCTCGCCGATGTGGACGCCGTGCTGGTAGCCGAAGCACTTGTTCTTCTGGTAGACCCAGTGGCAGTCCTTTCGGGGGATAGGGGGCGGCGGTAGTGGTGATGCAGAGAACAAAGGGACAAGGAACGAGAGAAAATTTGGGTCAGTGTGGGGGATTTGGCAGGGACCAAGACGAGCACTCGTGTCAACCGCATTGCGTTGCATTGTATTGTTGCGTTGCGTTGTGCTGTGCTGTGTTGTGCTGTGCTACACCGTCGTTCTTGGCTCCCCCATCGTTCTTACCTTCCAGTGGTACCCGAAGTATCGATAGCCCTCGTCGTCCTCGCAGTCATTGTAGTTGTCCTCGTGGGTGGGGTGGCGCGTGGGATGCCGGGTCGGTTTCCTCGTGGGCTTGGAGGCCGATCGGTACACGGCCGCGGAACAGAGGTTCACGTACCCGGTCGAAAAATACACCTGCAGCTCGTAGTGGCCCCTGTACAGATACACGTTCTTCCAGACCACGTCGCTGAAGTCGCGCCAGCCGTACGCCGGAACGTCGATCTCCTTCCCGAAGGGCGCCCGGTCGTCGGCGGTGAGACGGAACCGGATGTACTTGCCGTACAGGTTCGTGGAGACCCTGGCACGGACGTTGTACCGGCCCTCCTCCTCTGCGAAGAAATCGTACTGGAGCCATTCTGGGCAGGCAGCAACGAAACGAAAGAACACGGCAGAGCACGAAACAGAACAAGTGAGCAAACCCGGGGCACGAACGTTCGAACAAGAGGCGCGACAGGACTCCTTCGGTTTTCGTGTGCTTACCACCCGGACGGGTCCAACCGATGTGGCATTCGCTGTCGTCTCGATTGATGCAGACCTTGTCGCTGGTATACGATCCGTCCACGCCGTCGTCGCGGTCGCCCTTGTGACAGTTTCCCTCGTAGGCATAGCTGTTGTCGTAGGCGACACTGTACTCAAAGGCCGACCATTTCGCGGGCGTCGATCGTGTCGGCTCCGGGTGGTGGGGAGAAGGAGTCGGCTTAGGGGTGGGCTTCCTGGTGGGTTTTTTGTGGGGGGCGGGCGTGGGATTCTTGTCGCTCCAGTCGACGCGGATGCTGCACATGTTGATGTTGCCATCGGTGAAGGTTACCACGACTCTGTGGTGATCGTACAACATGTCGATGGGAACCCTGCGCCAGGTGACGTCGTAGAAGTCGTCGAAACCCTTGCCCTTGGTTCGGAATTGCTCGGTTTCGTCCGCATTTCGACCGTTGAAGAGTTTCATTTCGAATTTCTTCGGGTTTTTGCTGGACACGCGGGCCGTGATGTCGGCGTATCGCTTTCCATCCGAGCCACTTGTCTTGAATTTGTAGGTGACGGACTCTCCCTCTTCCGTGTACGAGATCTGGCAGGGTCCGGTCTCGCGACAGACACTATCTTTGGTGGTTTGTGCATCTGGTTCATCGAGGGGGGGCTGTCCAGCTTTGCAATTTCCTTTCACTTTGTTGTCCTTTTCAACGGCATCGTTGTAGTCCAGGGCGTTAGCGACAAAAGGAACATATCGGTCGGTTGCCTCGGCCTGCCGTAACAGCAAACCGAGAAAAAGAAGAAGAACGCTGAAGCGAGAGCAAGTGCTTGCCATTTTTACTACCTTGTTGTGTCAATCCAACGAATGCAGAGATTGTAATTTCCAGAGCCAAAAATTAAAATGAAAAATAATGCTAGCAACCTTCGAATATCTTTACTTCGAGTCTTTGTTTGCTTTTGAGCAAGGATGGACTTTTTCGTAGTAATAGGTAAGCTCTAAAACCAATTTTGGATGATAAAGATCTTGTTCTGCTAAAAGATTTCAAATCGTGACTTGTGCCACATTCTCTCCCAATTTGTGCCACACTCTCTTTCCATCAGTGGATGGGAAGGAAGTGGGAATCGAGGCTTATCTATTTTAGAATCGCACGAGGACTTCCTGTTGGAGGGAGTATCCATTGTTTACCGACTGGTTTAGTGATTTTATTCCCGCTAGGTTTATTGGCATACACGAGCCACATTATAGTGGGGACATAGTAATATCATGTGTTTCAATTATTTTTAGCGATTTCCGCACTTGATCGTCACTAAAAAGAAAAAACAATGAAGCAGAGAAAGAACGTGCCGATAGAAATTCGGGAATAAAATAAATATCATTCCCATGTGACAGAGTACATCGCACTGTTTTGGTGCTAACGGTCGCCCCGTGGGTTGCTTTATGACTGACTACGTACTGACTCACAACACCCATCATTCGTCCTCATACTTTCTCATCATGATACATAGGTACCAGTACGTACCGTCCGGTATGGTAAGGTAAGGTAAAGTTACATAATTACGTAATCATTCCCTACGATAGAAATCGTGGTGTCATCATCCTCTACACTCGGCTACAGTACTGGTACGGGTACGCTAAGGCCTTTGGTGAAGGAGGTCAAGCGAACAGATTGCCGAGATTTCGTCATTGCATTACATCAACTAGTGTTTGCATTGTACTTCTATTGTCTCGATGCGGTTCCCGTCTCCACTTGCTTTTTCATTAGCGACTGCAGCATCAGCGAGCATACGACTTTCTGGCTTCGCGGTCTTGGCGGCATCGAGTGGCAGCAACAGCAGTGCGTCCGCATTCATTTCGGCAACGGGTGCTATCCACAGTCAACTCGCAGATCACCCTTCGTCGAGATTGAACTCTTCCGTGTCCGGGGAAGATTCCAAACAGTCTTCGGTACCCATGATTGATCCGGAATACCCGGGAACAGCGGTCGAACGCATGCTCGCCGTGCGGGCACGCGTCACCTCTCTAACGACGGAAGAACTTAGCGGTCCCTGGGACGAGGTCCGGCGCAAAATACTGTGGGCGGGTGGATTGAGAGATCTCCCTAATGCGAGGCCCGGCCAGGGATACACKGGACACTCCTTCAACGACTACAACCACGTCGATCTGACGTGCATGCGCGACGACGTCTCGGACAACGAAAACGACGGCAGCGTGAAAATGATCGCCATTGGCAACCAGCTCGGCCCCGGAATCCGCCAGGCGTCTCTTCCCGAACTCGGCAGCGGAGGCTCGTGGTCGACCTGTGCCATCGGGTGCAACCAAGACCCACCGCAAGACGTTGCCCACATCCAGTTTCGGTCTCGGATCGGTGAGTCTTGAGTTGTATGTCGTGTTTTGTCCGTTTCTGAGTTTGTTTTTTCTCTCTTGCACTGCGCTAAATAGAGGATTTTGATCACGACACAAAAAAACTATATCTCACACAAACCGAACCAATCAATGTGTCTTGCAAACGACGAGAAAAGCCTTTAAGCTTGTGTGGTGTCCCACCGAAACATTCGATACGTTCGTACTGGTGGACGATGACGGAAAAAAACTTGCGCAAGGGACACCGTCGGGATCGTTGCCGAGCCTTCGGGAACGCCAAGTGAACTACAAAATTTCTGCTGGTAGCAAGTACGCTATAGTGGCCGACCAGATTGCGAAAGGCCTGAGTACTTCGACCGAGACTATGTGAAGAAATGCTCAGACTCGACATGGTTTTTAAATTCTTCTCTTTATTGATTGAAAATGATTCCATACGCAGCAAAAAACCGTGCCATTTGTTAGATTGTAAAGATTTGGTTCACAATTAAGTTGACATGAAGTACAGAATTATTACAAGCAATAGAAAGATATGATTGTCATTTTGATTTCTTTATCTAACCGTGGTATCCTCTAGCAATTKGGCCGTCCGTGAAGGACGTCATTTCCATGCTGTCGAACGTTGATCGCTCCATTCTGTCTTTTATCCGGGCCTTGGTTTTCACGAGGCTCTTTCCCAGACTGTCGAAATATTTCCATGACGACGGATAGGGCACGTTCGATGCGTGGCCCATGTTCCGGGTGATGCTGTCCTGCCTCGCATCGTGGAGGCTCCGGAACCACAGCAAGGCCTCCTCGCGGGTTGATACGGCGTAGAAATGCTGCCGTCGGAGGGTGGACACCGCGAAAAAACCCGTGCACCCGGCGGGCAAATTGCCAATCTCTGGAAACTGCAGGCTCGTGTCGTGGCCTACGATTTCGGTGGTGAGGGTTTCGACATCGAACGGGGATCCCTTGGGAATCTGTGAGTGTGGATCTTTGAATTTGTAGAGATAAGACCCGCCAAGAATCAAGTGGCGTTCCTTCCAGGACGGCGCAAAGGATCTCAGAAAGGGGAGGGCCAGGATCAATCTCTGGAAAAAGGCGGGAAGAATACTGTACAATACCGGAACGTGCAGTTTCAAAACCGGCCCGTGATGGAGTGGAGTGGCCTTGATCATGGCGGGGGCCGAAAGGCCTGCTCCGGGAGTGAAATGATCTACTTCTTCCCCGCCCGCCATGGCCGGGTTTGATGCTGAGTGGCGCCTGCGCATATCCGACATGTTGAGGAAATTTGTTGCAATATTATGGTATGGTCAGGCCCGTTTGCTTTGATCACTTCTGAAACTTGAGTGATGTAACGATGATGATCAAAATATGTTTTGGCGAGCTACGGAAGCTGTGATTGCGTTGTCTTTGTGTTACGAGGTCTCCTATTTGTGAGGTGACGGAACAGAAACATTGCGCCTTAGTGATTGCGCTGTTCCGTTGATGATGGTGCTTTTATTTGTACGTACCGTACTTACTGTACCATCAAGTAAAAATTCTGAGTCGTATCCCACGCATGGATAGAAATGATAGAAGTGCTACGGTCCTAAACGCAATGTACACATTTATTTGTAGCACTACAGTACCGTACGGTAGCTCAACTGAGCACCTAAGACTACGCAAATGCGAATCGTTACGGGACTGAGTTCAGGAAGAGGATAGTTCAAACATGTGAGGACCTGCTACCGTAGGTGTACCTGGTACGTAACAGTACGTGCGTTATGCTGTTGCAGAAGAAGCAAGAACTGGAAATTGATGAGTGGCAGAATCCGATAACATACAGTACTCGTAGTCACAGCTCGACGACAAACCAAAACGTGAAGCAAGAAATCATCCGAGAGAGAAAGGATTTTACGCAGGATTAAGCATCGCAGAGCTGCTTTGATGATGATATGTGTCCCAACGGCTCGATTGCTCTTCTTTTGCGCATTTTGCTTTGACAGAGCCGTTTCGTTCACGCCAAAAGCCATTTGGGCGCACCAAACACGGAAGCCCTGTCAGCAGTTTGCCTACAGAGACAGTAACGAAGAAGRCAGCTTTGAATCGCTCGTGGAAGAAGCTACGTTTGGTGCAACGGGGCTGTATGGTGGGGATTTTGCAGGACTCGCAGCTACGTTTAATCCTGGTGACGGCTCCTTCATTCCGATCCCCGACTATCTCATCCCGGAAGACCTCAAGGAGTGGGGCCAGGAGCCAAAATGTCTTCAGGTGCTGGTCAGCGAAGACGTCCACGACGACGGCAGCGGGGAGAGCTGTTTGATGTCCAGAGTCACCACCAAGATTCTTCCTGAAACCGGGTGCGGTGTAGACAATATGGAGACCATGATTGCATCCGACGAAATCGATTTGGAGTCGCAATGGAAGAGTGACGACGACAACGATGGCCTGGAAGACGTTGTCGGCTTGCAATATCCTCTGGGGGAAGAAAAATTACGCGTGGAAACCATATTTGGTCTGGAAGAAGAGTACGGTGTGGATCGAATACGGGTGGCTATTGATTTGATCCCGTCCGAAGAGAACTTTGCAATCGTGAGTCCGATGGTGCTGACGCTGGAGCGACGAACCAGTTCGATCAGCAGTGGTGGAACGATCGCCGAAGGGGGTGGTCTGGACGGCCGCACGGTCTACATGCTTTTGGGAGAGCGATTGCGGTCCGAAACGACGTTCGTCGACGAACCATCGATGAGCAACGAGAACTATTATGATACAGGGAACGACATTCGGTACGTAGGCCTCCCGGCGAACATCAGCATCGCATTTGGCTGGTTGAACGAAGGTCGAGACACGTGGATGTTGCAGGTGAGTCACATCACTTCAAATGGGTCTCGGCGCGTTGTTTCTCGACAGTTCACGGTTGCAAGCAACAACGAACTGGACTTCGAGATACGATCATGGGTCGAGGACCTTTAATAGAAACAACTAGATATGCTGTGTTTGGCAGTGCACTATTGTAATTAAAAAATACATTTTGTTCTGTTACACATCGGCCAATTCCTTTGATTACACACACAAGAAAAACTATTGTATGGAAGGGCTGTTTTGTGGTGCCCCCAACAATGAACTGCCACAAAACGAAACATCTTGCCGCGAAGTCTTCTCGGATAACTTTCAGATGCCGTAATTTCTTCGAAATTCAGCGAGAGCGTCAGACCCTTCCGGAAGCAACGGAAATGAAAAATTGTTATAGAGAAAGGCCTCACGCCACTGGAGCTCTGTTGTGACATTGAAGTTGTCGTCCCATACGAGCGCGTCGTCGCCGGTCGGTTCTTCCTCCGATCCCTCTTCGTCATCGGAAGAATCGTCCTCTATTTCCACATGGAAATGGACTTCTCGCCCCGGCACTAGATTTAGAGACCGTCGCAACCGCCGCTGGCGGCGTCGACGGCGTCGCAGCACACGGCCATTCGTGTCGTTGCGTGGACGAGGGGGAAGCTTGAACGAAGCATACACCCCCCAGCAAGATTCCATGACGAAACCCCAGTTGTTTGTGGGGCTGCGTCGACAAACATAAGTAGGGACCTCGCGGCCCCTCACCGAAAAACGAATATAGGATCCAATAGGGCGGTCAGGGAAATCCAGGGGCTGAGTAACAAATCGCCAGGTCATCGGAACTGCAGGGTCTTGGAGGTCGGTATCGTTCACGCCGTCTTCTGGCCCCAGTGGATTGCGTCTTGGGTCAATCCGTGAAGGGCTCCGTGTGGTAGAAGCATCATCGATTTCCATGTTTTCCGATTGACCTACCTCCAAGATATCATCTGCATATCCACCAGATATATCTGCGTGCCCCTCTTCAATCATATTTTGCTCTTTGTCTTCCCTTTTGTTTGTTCGAGGGGCGTAAATTTTCACTCTGCCGTCGTCTAGAAATACCATCTTCCGGCAGGGTTGGTGATTGTACCATGGGTCGAAAGCAGTCCAGTCGGAACCCGCTGCTTCCTTGAATCGAAATGACCATACAGTACCTTTGCCCGTTGCTGGGTTGAAAATAAGTTCCTCGCGTGTCAAATGGTCCCGATTGTTCCCGTCAAGGAGTGATTTTCGATAGGCAGACATGGCACTCGCATTTGTGATGTTGTTTCCTCCATGGCTACACCCACAAGATGAGGAAGAACGTCGAAGTTCTTCTTGAGCTTCTACACAGACGTGAATCTTGTTCTTCCAAAGATTCCGGCACAAATCAACCCAACCAGCGGAATTCTTCGACGCCGACTCTCTGAATTTTCGATTTATTTTCCGCATTTCACAGAGCGATTTGGCATCCAAAAAAGACATAACTTTGCAAAGAACATCCTCCGGAAGGCGACATAACGGAAAGTCGTTTTCATCACAAGACTTTCTTTTGGACGTGCAAGGGGTACTGATAATCATTGTTGCTATCATCTTCAATGCTTTGGTTCCAAGAACATTTTCTCGATCAGTTAGTGTTCGTTCGTTCGTTCTGCCTTGACGGGTAGGGTACTGTATGGTACAGTACTTTGATTGTCAATTTGTACTTCACGTAGTTTTGTTGAGTTTGTATCATCATACCGTACCAAAAATACAGTGCGATACAATAAGTAGTGCGAACTCAATTGAGATTATTTGTGATGGTACGATACGTACCGTACGGTACCTGTACCAATACTACTGTCGTGTTGAAATATCAAAATATCACACACTCACCACAAACCGTACCTATGGTAGTACGGTACGGTACTCATGTTGTAACGGATCAGTACGTACGTACCTGGCACCTGGTATATTCATACGGACCAGATGAGTAAAGAACGAACCGTATGTACTTATTTCGTTAATTGAGAAGGAGTGACAGGTTAATTTTTTGATATGTAGATTGTACAGAGAAAAAATGGAACTTAGAACCCTCCGATACGTACCCTACTGCTATGAGTTTGTTATTCACGAGCTACTCGTGATTAAGCTTGATCTCCGTATCTTTTCTCAAATAAGGTAAGACGCGTACGGTACTATTACGTACGGTACGGCAGCACAGGATCAAATTTTTGACCCCTGCGGTGCGGTACGCTACGGGACCATTTGGACCCCTGACCATTTACCATACAGTTCGTACTGTAGTGCACTGTTGGGGTACATAACAATATTGCACGGAACAATTGATGAAGTTCTTGCTGGTGCCGCTATCATAATCGCTTCATACCCGTTCCTGACCACTCGATCAGATACGAACAAAGTCGATCTTTCCAAAAGTGCTTGTTGACATTCCATCGATACTGTTTGTGTTCATCTGATATCGCATTTTAGACTCACTGGACAAGATGTCATCGACGTCGCTGTCAAAATGTTTGACCCTGGTCAAGAATGCGGTGGATGAGTCTTCCCTCGCTCCTATCATTGGTACGACCAAGAAGTAGCGTAGCCTTTTTTCGGAATAAATTGGGATCTAGCTAGTGGGAGCTATTCGTCGCTTTTAGTTGTTATCGAGTTGATAAAAAGCCCCTGTGAAACTGGAATGACAGCAGTTGTTCTGAAATAATTATCGATACAGAGGGACGAAAAATCTCGATGAAAACAACGATCACATCGTGATCAAATTATTCCTTTCATGTTTATTCTTACCAAGAGCTATTTCTGTTCTTCGTAGCGTTGTATTTTGCTGCTTCCTGGTGTCCAGACTGCGTTGAAAGTAAACCATATGTTTCCAACGTATTCAAGATGCAGGAAGGCAGAGCAAAACTTTTTGACTTGGTGTACGTATCTTCGGACAACGATTCCGATCAGATGAAGGGAGAAATAGAAGGAGGTTGGGACTCTATTGATTATGAAAAAAAAGAAGATCGGTCGATGTTGAAGAAATGTTTCGGTATTTGTGCACAGAAGGAAATGGAGGCTTTAGGGATAACTAGTGAACAACGAAAAGGAGGCATTCCGACACTTCTGTTGATTGATAAAGGAAATTCTGTAGTGATATCTCCTGATGGCATTCCCGATTTAATGGGTGACAACAAGGTGGAAGATCCTTTGGCTAAATGGAAAGCTCTCTTGCTACCAAAGGAATCATAGGTTCTATGCCATTCAATACGCAAATATGGACCACTTCTAGTAGTACTACTAGAGTACCCATACTTGTAGTACTACTGCTAGTAGTAGTATCTGATCCAGCATACCTTGATAATAGTAGTACCAGTAGTTGCGGGCTATCATTTGCATCATTGTTTTTTATCTTGTTCTTGAAACCTATTGGCACCATTAGTAATTATTGTTCATGACTTCCATTGCTCCTCTGTTCCAAGATAACAAAAGGAAAATAATTTTATCATTTTTTGTTCGTGCTACCTGTACGAGTACCTCTCTAAGAACCTGGCAAGAGAATCTTTTTCGTTTTTTGTGTCTCGAGAAAAGAGAAAGAAAAATAGCCTCTTAAACCGAAGCCGTCAACCTGTACGAATGAGTACTCGTTCTCGTACGTCCTTGTACCAATTACAGCCAGTAATAACCACTAAAAGCCTATCAATAGTAAATGATTACAGTAGTAGGAAAATTTTTAAGGATTTAACAGAACGGATATCAAAAGCCTCGACGTAAGGTGGATACCGTACAAAACGCATCGATGAATGATCCATCAGTGACACATACCTGGGACAGCTTTGAAAGTGCATGTACTTGCAGTACTTAAAACCAATTTTGATTCCGATCACTCTCCGGGCGACAAGCTCGTTACCGTGTATATCCACCTTCTTTGACGAATGCAAATTGTGGGAATTTTGAGGCTGCTGTTCTCCTTATTTTTCGTGAAACGCTGTCAAGAGATTCATTTTTGACACCAAAATGTTGTCGCTTGAGGACATTGCTGAGAATCAGGATATTTTCCAGCGCCATTTGCTGCCATATCTTCCAATCGTAGAGGTTGTAAGATTGCAGCGTGTGTCAACAAGATTTGGGTCTCTTATCAACGATGAAAGCTGCTGGAAGATTCTTTCTGAGCGGGATTTCGAAGTCGACAACAAAGCAGCACCAGAATACAATCCACATACGAAAAGCTTCGATAACTTGACGGATCAGGAAAATTTCAAAAAGTCTTACCAACAGTGGGCGGAATGGAGGCAGCAAACCTGCTTCGCGATCGAACCACGCCATATGATACAATCTATTGGATTGTGGTCACGTTGCAAAGCGGTTTTAAGAAAGCAAAATCTAGACAAAATTGTTGAATCCCTCATGCCACCACCAAGTCGAGAATTTTTCGAAGTTGCCGCGGAGACTACGCTTCCATCGTCTCTTCTCGCATTCTATGCTATACATGCCGGTCAGTCTCAGTTGACACCACGAAGTTCAGATGACGACTTTTTTGCGGGTTTGTTTGGAAGCTATTCGTGTTACAATTCTTTCTTCTCGATGCGACTTTTTCATGTAAGCGAAGCCGCCGTTGCTTCGATTTCAAATTCTATCTGGGTAGTTGGGTTGAACCTGGGAATGCCACGAACGTTTTTAGTACTCGACTTGAGCAATGTCGACGAAGGACTCGAAGGTTCAATGTACTTTGGATATCAAGGAATGAATCATGCCCATTTAGTTTGTCAGGGTGGGATCTTATCTTATTTTGAAACATATGTTGAAAGACTTGAAAGCAGCATGTATACTTCGTGCATTATTCATCCAGATTCTCCTACATCGTTGGGTCTTTCTTTGTTCCCTGAAACCGGTGACACTGTCAGCGTTGCTGTCTCTCACGGCGTGGAAGTACGAGCTAGTGCTAGATGGTTTCCCGAACGCACATACGACGGACCAATGAATTTTGGTTACAGCATTCGTATCACCTTAGCAGAAAGCGACTCTGATAGCGGGGAAGTGTCCTGTCAACTTGTGGGCCGAAACTGGGAATTTCGTTACGAAGATGGTACTGTGAATCGTGTCCAAGGAGAAGGGTGTATAGGAAAGCAACCTCTATTCTTCCGAAATCGAGACGGCACGTCGGGTTATATCGACTTGGGACCAGCAGGAACCGGCGAAGCTAATCTTAATTCTACCTTTCGATATCAGAGCCAATCCGGTCCAGTTCCAGGCACTTCTTCGAATAATGTGGCGAAAACTACCAATTGCCGCGTCAAAGGGACATTCAGTTTTCGACCCGGAAGTATCGAGGAACCAAACGGGTCTCTGTTTTTTGTGACTGTTGGTGAATTCCCTCTACGTGTTCCTATGCCGTTCTACTAGAGCGCTATAGTTGGTCCGCATTCCAATATCTACTACTAGATCAACAACAAGAATGGGTTTTGGAGATTGAGTTCTGTACTATCAATAGTGCACCAATACTACTTCTCGCAACTACTACTACTGCTGTACTACTAGTAGTAATTGTTGTCTTGGACTGGTCAAACGCCCGTGCTGGCTTCTCCTCCCTGGTGCTAGTAGAGTGATAGCTGGTACTAGTAGTGGTGTGGCGAATGCTGCTATGAGGGATTTTTCATTGCGAACACAACAAGTAATGAAAACAACAACAAGAACAACTTGTATCGTTTGTCCACCGGATAATTTTTTCCACGTCTAGAAGATTCTACTTCTAATCGTATGAGTCGTATGCTTATTTTTATCCTTAGGTAACACGAAAACGAACTGTGTTTATTGTTTATTTTGTTCTGACCGAAGTACAGACTCTTCGTCCTTCGAGTCCAACCAAAAACAAAAACCCTAAACATTGATCCGTCCATCACAGAAGCAATCACCGCCGACCTAAAAGAAAAAAATATTCGTGATCAAAATCAAATAGCAACATTGGAATAGGCCTCGGTCGTCGATAGTCGCTGATCATCAAATAAGAAGTTTATCATTCGAATGATCTTCACTAGCACAAGTAAATTCTTTTTCTGAGTCATTGAAATTCATTTCTGCATAAAGTGGAACTTTCAAATAGAGAGCTTACCGTGACAAAACCGCTTTCTAATCCTCTTTGTCGAAGAAGATTGAAGATTGCTGAAGCTGAGCGTATCGAGATTCAACAGAATGAAGATAAGTGTCGATGAATCCAATGGTACCAAAAAAAATGTTGGAGAATATTTGCTCCGAATCTATGACGCAACGAATCTGCTTGTTCGAGCGAAACGAGAAGGCGAAGATGACGACACTCATATGTTGATTGAAGACGATACGGAAACAAAAGTCAAATATCACCATTCCCCGAACTCGCTCGATGAATACATCAATGAGATTGCGAACAATTTACTAAGGGCTTGCAATCCAGTAGTATTGAAATGTGGAGTCTCTCATCTGCCACCAATAAAGACATTCCAATATGATGAAAGTATAGAAATCGATGACGACGAATTTCTTACAGAAGATTCCACTTTCTTCTACAAACATCGACGATCGGATTATTTACGTCAACTCTTGAGAGTATTAGCTCCTATTTCCATGGAAGTGGCATCAAATGTATGCTCTATAGTAATGTCTGCTATCAGAGATCGCTCTGCATCCACTCTGCAAGAGCAACAAAATCTTGCTCATATGATTTTGTTTTCCCATTGGCTACCTGTGGCTCCTCATTTAACACAAATGGCGACAGAAACATTCAGTTACATGGCCAATCCATGGCATGTTTTACAAAAATGCTGTGACGATACGAATCTACAAGCTCGAGAAGAATTATTTTTCCTTGCGGAAGCGATGTATCAATTGTCTTCTTTCTTTGCAAACCGCGGAGAAATAACTCTCTTGCGCCGTTTAGATTGGGAATGGACCTTTGTCTTTGACATGCTACAAAACACAGGAGATACAGTAATGCATGACTCCTCAGTATCTGACGAAATGAGTCCTTCTGCAGATGGAATTTCATCATTCCTCCCCATGGCTTTTAATTGGTTTTGTGTCCGAATACTAACCTCACTCATGGGTTGGAACTCAACAATTACCAGCACCGTCCTAAACATTCAAAACGTAGGAGAAGATCGAGTTCCGTGGAGAATTCATCCTTGGGAGCTCGATCAGGAAGAAGTTGATATAGAAAAGGCATATTTTCAGCAGCTAGTATCTCTCTGGAATGATTGTAACACGTTCAAACTTCCGTCTTCGGAAGATGTTCAAAATGAGTTACAGTCTTCACCCTATTTGGCAAAGGTGGGCCCTGGTATTACAATGTACAAGCAGGGATCGCTCAGGAAATCAATGGAGATGATGTTAGGTGACATCACTCATGGTGACGATAGCGACAATTTGATGGCGGGTAAGACTGCAAGACCAATAGAGATGAGTCATCTTATACCAACAGCCACCACGAATCGAAATCTAGCTTTACTGGGCGCAGCTTTGTGTCACGATCCGTATCCTTTGCCTATTGTTGTTTGTGGTCCACATGGCTCGGGAAAGTCAAGTTTGATTCGGGAACTTCTACAATTATGTCGACCAAAGGAATCACTCATCGAATTTCACATCGACGAAGAAACAGACTCTAAGACACTCATCGGATCTTATACGACAACTGATATCCCTGGTGAATTTGCATGGCGAGCAGGAGCCTTGACCAATGCCTCCCGGGATGGACGATGGGTTCTCATTGAAGATCTAGACTCTGTCCCTTTGGAAATCCAAGCTGCCCTCGTAAAACTTTTTGAGGAGAGGATGATACCACTTGGTAATGGCAAATATGAACGATGCCATCCAAACTTCAGGATTTTTGCTACCTGCACTACCAATCCTTCATTATCGTCAAGTCAAGGACAAGAAAGGCACAGTCTTCGTATTGGAAACCATAGGGGTGGAGGAAAGCAAATTCTCCATCCTTCTTACTGGAGAAACGTTCATGTGAAACCTATGCCTTATTCTGAATTAAAGGAGGTCGCAATATCACTGTATTCGGATGTGCCACTCTCTGTGATTGACTCAGCAATGACTCTTTTGCAAACCCTTGATCGCAGTGGACGTGAATATGATGTCAGCGGGGGAGAGGGTTGTGAAGATAATGATGACGATCCGATCAAAACGAATGCAGCCAAAGTAAAGAATCTCTGGGTTGGAGGAAGAATACCTTCTGTCCGAGATTTATTCAAGCTTTTGTCACGAATATCGAATGGAATCTGTTTCGAAAAGGATGTACTTTATACTACGGAGGCGCAACGGACATTGTGTATGGCAGAGAGTGTAGATATATTTTTGGGATCTTGCTCAGACCAGCACATCAAAGATCACTTTATTGGCTTAGTGGCTGCACCTATTTGGGGGATTACAAGAGCCCTTGCACTTAATTATATTAGAGCCAGAAAGCCATCAATCCTCGTGGCAGAAGACTTTTTCGAGGTTGGACGTGCCAAGTTTAACACAACAAAATCAATTGGATTCTACCAGAAATCCTCATCTAACTTTGCTGAAACAAGTCATGCATTGCGTCTGATGGAATCAATAGCAGTTTGTGTAAGAGAAAACGAGCCAATCCTTCTAGTGGGTGAGACAGGCTGTGGAAAGACGACTAACATACAGCAACTTGCTGCACGTTGTGAGAGGACTCTCGTTGTTCAGAATCTCTCACTCCAAACAGACTCAACTGATCTTTTAGGTGGATATCGACCCCTTGAAATCCAAAACGTGGCCCGAAACGTTTATAAGGACTTTGTTGACACTTTTGTCTCAAGTTTCTCGAGAAAGCAAAATCTTAAATTTCTACAATACGCAGCATCGATGTTGGAGAAGTCTAACTGGAAAAAACTCTCTCAATCTTTCAAAAGAGCTTCACAACTTGGTTTGAAAAAGATGAAACAACGGCAAGAAAACTCAGACGTTTCAATGTCAGATTCCATGATTGAGACCTGGCAGAACTTCGCCAAGAAAGCAGAACGATTTGAACGCCAAAGGGTGTCATGCGACGCTGGTCTTGCTTTTGAGTTTGCTGAAGGCGCATTAGTAGATGCTATCCAGACCGGGAAATGGTAAGGACCATAATACAGTACGAAATCGATAGGCCGATTCCAGGAACTGCTTCTAATAATTCTTTTCTTATTTTAATGTTTCAGGGTTCTTCTTGATGAAATCAATCTCGCTTCATCTGACACATTGCAACGACTTTGCGGACTGTTGGACGAGCCAACTGGAAGTCTCACGTTGACCGAACGAGGAGATGCTACTGCTATTAAAAGGCATCCGAACTTTCGATTATTCGCAGCAATGAACCCAGCGACTGATGCCGGTAAAAAAGACCTTCCTGCAAGCATCCGCTGTCGATTTTCGGAACTCTACGTTGATGAATTACTCGACCCAATCGAACTTAGACTAGTTACTGCGCAATGCCTTGATGGCGTCCTACCGAATGACGGAAATGCTCCAGAACACACAGAAATTGTTGCACGCATTGTGGATCAATATATACGGTGTCGTGAGCTTGCGCATACTACTCTTTGCGATGGAAATGGTCATAAGCCAAGGTACACATTGAGAACATTATCACGCGCACTGAAAGCTGCTAAGAACTTGGTGTTACAACAACGGCTTCGTCTTACTGTGGCTATATATGAAGGGTTCCAACTCTCATTTGAAGGGATCCTTGACGGTGCTTCGATAAAAATAATGAGAAAAATGCTCAAGAAAGCGTTTTTACAAGACGAGGCGAAGAAGATCGACTTGGATCATCCTGGTAGGAGACCCGGGGGAAGGGACGGTGAGAACGCATACGTACTAATTAAGCCGTTTTGGATCAAAGCTGGACCTTTGGAAAGAACTGATTGGTCCGAGATCGGAGCAAATGGAAAGTCAAAGTTCATCCTAACAAAAACAGCCTTGACAAATTTGCGACGACTTGCGCAAGCCCTAGCGACGGGCCCGTGGCCCGTATTACTTGAGGGACCTACATCGAGCGGTAAAACTACGCTTGTCGAGTATATTGCAGCGAGATGCGGGCACMACGTCGTCAGGATAAACAATCACGAACACACAGACGTTCAGGAATACACTGGAGCATTCGCCGCTGATCGAAATGGATCGTTATCCTTTCGAGACGGCATTCTTGTACAAGCACTCAGGAAAGGACATTGGGTTATTCTAGATGAGCTAAATCTCGCTCCCAGCGAGGTACTCGAAGCGCTCAATCGATTGCTTGATGACAATAGAGAACTGTATTTGGCTGAAACGAACGAGACAGTCAAGCCACATCCTAACTTTCGTCTCTTTGCCACTCAAAATCCTTCTGGGGCTTACGGTGGTAGAAAACCTCTATCACGGGCATTCCGCAATCGTTTTGTTGAGCTACATGTAGGCGATATTCCCAGTGATGAGATGTCTCAGATCCTAGAAAAGAGATGCGGTTGCCCTCCTTCGCACGCGAAACTTTTGGTGGAAATTATGGTAGATCTTAGGGTCAAAAGAAGCAAGAGCAATCTTTTTCTCGGTAAAGATAGTTTTATAACCCCGAGAGATCTACTAAGATGGGCAGAACGACAAAGTGGGTCAAAGAAAGATTTGGCTGAACATGGATATATGGTTTTAGCGGAAAGACTGCGCTCGGACGAAGAAAAGCAAATGGTTCTCAATGTCCTAGAGGAACACACCAAAATAAAAATAAATTTGGAGCGACTTTACTACGGCGAAAACTCCGAAGCAAAACAAATTCTTGATAAAGCTCTAGAAGCAGCTCGGGTTCAAAAGAATGATCTCATCGCATCGGTTGCACCAACTAGATCAATGTTACGACTTATACATCTAGTGTCAGCATGCGTGAGACAGAAAGAACCAGTTCTCTTGGTTGGAGGTAAGAATGACTATGTGATCGTTAAGTTGCTTCTTCTCTCTTCTTTTCTAACCTCCTGCATCGTACCTCCGTAGACACGGGTTGCGGAAAAACCACTGTCATTCAATTACTCAGCTTTGTATTGAATCAGGCATTGTTCAGTGTCAATTGCCATGCAACAACAGAGACATCAGATCTAATTGGAGGACTTCGACCGGTTCGAGGGCGAGATGCGATCAAGGAAAAGATAGTTACGAAAATGAGAGAGTTGATTCAAAAGTGGCCATACGATGACATGGTTGATGACCTTGACTTAGAACCTTACATCTCTCCCAGCAATCTACATGAAAAGGTGTCGGATGCGTCTATAGCATCATATGATGTCGACACAATGGTGGAGATTGCTCGGAATATGTCTTCAAGGAGACATCAAATTCTAAATGACGAGTCAACTAAAGGACGAACTAAAAAGCGAAGAAAAGTCAAAGAATCAGGTACACCTGATAACAGTAGTGATTGTAGTGATGACCTTTCAGAAGATTACGTTGAATCAATCGATGTGATTGCCTCTGAGATTGAGAATTTGGGGCGGCGTTTCAAGGCTTTGTTTGAGTGGTCTGATGGTCCGCTTGTGACAGCTATGAAGTCAGGAGAATTGATGCTTCTAGATGAAATGAGTCTTGCCGAAGACGCTGTGTTAGAGCGTCTGAATTCTGTCCTAGAACCATCAAGATGTATTGTTCTTGCTGAAAAAGGTGATGGCGGATCATCTGACGCGGAAAAAGATGATCGCATCATTGTAGCCCACGATCAATTTCGAATTTTCGCCACAATGAATCCAGGAGGTGACTATGGTAAAAGAGAGTTGAGTCCAGCTTTACGAAGTCGTTTCACAGAAATCTGGGTGCCTTCTCTCAAAGAAAGAAGCGATTTTGAGATTGTGATGGGTAGATCATTTACACTTAGTCTGGGAAAACAAATTAACTTCGACCAATCGTCAATAGTCACCCGCATTCTTGATTATGTCGAGTGGTTTAATACGGACATTTGCGGTGCGACTTCAAGCCCGTTTTCTGGTTTTTCTCTCTCGTTACGAGATATTCTTTCTTGGGTAAATTTTATTGTTGAGGCAAGAAAATCAAACGCAAAACTCACAATATCAGATGCACTATATCATGGTGCATGCCTCATGCATCTCGATGGCCTAGGATTGGGATCAGGCCTTGCTTCAGATTCCTCAACTGCGCTTAAGGTGAAAGCAGAACAACATCTCATTGGTCTTATAGAAGGAAACATTTCCAACGCCCACAGTGTTGATGAACCGATTTGTATCCAGGAGGAAAAATTTGGCGTCTTCCCGTACTTCATCAAGCTTGGAGTAGCTAATATTCCGAAGTCAACTTTCAATATGACAGCTCCAACAACATCCCTGAATGCATTTCGTGTTTTACGAGCAATGCAGCTTAAGAAACCCATTCTTCTAGAAGGATCCCCTGGAGTTGGAAAGACATCCTTAGTCAGCGCTCTTGCATCTGCATCTGGTAATAAACTTGTGCGAATCAATCTTTCAGAACAAACTGATATCTCTGACTTGATGGGCAGTGATCTACCGGTGGAAAATTCAACGAGTAATGGACCTTCTTTCGAGTGGTGCGACGGAGTTTTGCTGACAGCCATTAAAGAAGGTAGCTGGGTTCTCCTAGATGAGCTCAACCTGGCGTCCCAAGCTGTACTAGAAGGACTAAATAGTTGTCTGGACCATCGTGCCACGATGTACATCCCAGAACTTGGAAAGTCATTTGAATGCCCTCCCACTTTCCGTGTTTTTGCGGCTCAAAATCCATTGGGTCAAGGAGGAGGTCGAAAGGGACTTCCGAAGTCATTTCTAAATAGGTTCACAAAGGTATATGTTGATGCTCTGACTGATTCAGATCTCCGTTCTATTGTGTCTTCACGATTCAAATCATTCTCGGAAGACTTTGTAAATCAAATCATCGATTTCAACAATGACATCCACCGCGAAGTAGTTGACCTTCAAGAATACGGGTCTGATGGTGGTCCTTGGGAATTCAATCTACGTGACGTATTTCGTTGGTGCGAATTGATAGAAGCAGGACATTCATCGTACGCAGCAGGTGCTCGTGACCTATACTACCAACGGTTTCGAACACAGGATGATAGGGATAAACTGGATAAAACGTTTCAGAAACATTTTGGATGCTCGATGCTTCCAAAAGGTTCTCTGGAGTTTGAAATTCTGGATTCGAGTGTTCGAATTGGTGAGACTTATCTGAGTCGCCTTGGCCAATTAGCCCAAATGCAACAGGGTGATAGACTTATGCGAGCGTCAGACCTACTATTCTCACGACTTATTCCAATGGAAGCAGTAGCACGCTGTATCAATTTAAGATGGCCGTGCCTTCTTGTTGGCGGAAGTGGGACTGGGAAGACCTCGATAGTATCGAGTTTAGCAGATCTCTGCAATGCAACTCTTGTTGAGCATTGCTTATCTCCGTCCTCTGACGTAGCAGAGCTTATAGGTGGATTTGAACAAAGCGAAACTATGTCAAAAGATATCCAGATTATCAAAGAAGTCTGCGCGTTGGCAAATAGCGTCATAGGTACCGACGCTTTCAAGTCGCGGAACTCTAAAACATGCTGGGATATCACTGTAGAGTTACAGAGATACATAGAAAACTGGGAAAACTCCACTCTTTCATACGAGGATCAAATGAATTTTCCGTGGAAAGAAGTAAGTGATCTGTCTGAGGTACTTCTATCAGTTATTGAAGAAAATCCTGATCTATCCTGCTTTCATGATCCTGTAAAAGGTATCAAAGAAAGAACTCTTATTCAACTTACCAAGAAGCAAAAATCGGCTCAAAACCAGGAAGACTCTGCTCATTTCGTATGGCGCAATGGTGTGCTGGTAGAGGCGTTAGTGAAAGGCCATTGGTTGTTACTTGAAAATGCAAATCTTTGCCCGTCGTCTGTGCTTGACAGACTGAATTCGGTCACAGAACGCGATGGATTCTTACTTCTGTCCGAGTCAGGGACGCAGGAAGGGGAAGACAACACTCAAGCTCATCGGGTAATCAGACCACACAAAAACTTTCGAATATTCTTTACGATGAATGCTGCTAATGGTGAAATATCGCGTGCAATGAGAAATCGGTGCGTAGAAATTTCTCTCTTGGAGTCTACAATGCAGAGTCCTTTGAAACCAAATGCACCTATTTCGTCAGACATATTTTCCAAAGTGCAGATGGTTGACTTTCTTAGCATAATGCGCTGTGCTCGAATTCGTTCCATAGAGGTGGCATCTACAATTATCCAGGCATGCTTGAATGAGTTCATGCAATCATCAACTTTTGAGGAACCTCCGAATTTGAGGAGTGTATTTGAGTCTGTCCATATTTTGCCAAGTCTGCTTCGTCGAGGTTTGAATCCTCGAGCAGCAGGACGAAATTTTATGCAGCTTTCTTTCGAAGTGGATGAGTCCGCTGTAACAATGGATTTCGCTGTAGGCATTTTTTGTACAAGTCGAGCCATAGATGCTACTCCGCTACCGGGGAACTTGTTGTTCAAGTCTGTGAGGAGCGGAAATGAAGCCCCTTTGATGAATTTGGCATGGCAGGCTCGGCTTCTGCGACTTTTTGCAACAGAAAAATCGAATGTACAGGGTGTGATGACTAATCTTGGCCTCCTGAATTCATCAGAAACAGATCAAATCGACCGATCCATTTTTGTTTTCCCTTCCTTTCACGAATTACAGTATATCTTGTCTCAATTGTTTCTCAAGTCGAAATCATTCCAAGAACTTAAACTTAGGGCTTCCACAATGGTTGGATTCAGAAGTCCATTATGGTATACAATCCAATGGATGGCGTCAGACTTGGGAAGATCACTCTCTCGAACAAGAAACGTAATAGAAACAACTCACCTTGATGACTGCGCGAGTTTTGTGTGGCTGCGATTGCACCAGCGGTTTGTTGAACACCTGTGGAAAACAAATTTGGCGAGGAGACATACTGTTCTTGATTCAATTGAAGATCTGGTAGTCCTTGAAGCTTCTTACTACATGCACGAGAATCTCCTCGACGGATCTACAGTACCATGTTCAGTCACCGGTTTGCTGTATAGATTCTTCATTGCAATTGATCATTGGACAAATAATGTTCTCGTTGCCAATGAAACGATCTTCATAAAAATACTCCCCAAACTGAGAACTGTCTTGGACGAGAGAGACAAGCTTTGGACTCTTCTGAAAAACCTCCCACTCAATGTAAATGTTATGAACGGGTTTTCTGCCTTTGATGAAAGTGAATTCATTGTTCAGTGGCAATGGCTCCAAAAGATGATACCAAAAATTGAATTTCGAAATTCCTGCGTACAAGGGTGGCAACAAGTAGAAATCTTGGTTGACGCTATTGACAGAGCCATTTATGGAGGCCCTCGGCCTACTTGGTCAACTCGTGGCGTAAGAAAGAAAATGATGAGCCCTCTTGTGCCTCGTGAAGCTAAGCATTGGGAGGATCTATTTTCCCTCGAAGCCCTTGCCCATGGATGTTCCCTTGTACGTGACCACCGCTTTGACCCTTTCCAAAAGAATGGAAATCTAATTGATCTCAATCAGCTAATGGGAGTAGGCCATCCGAGCCTTTACATCACTGTTGAAGAGAAAAACCAGCTCCTTGCAGCAATTTGTACATCACAAGTGTCATGGACAAATTCAGAATCTAATGGAAGAACATGGATTGAAGAGATTAACTTTCCTCTAAAAATGAAAGAAGTTTTTGGAAAACAAAAAGATTCTTTTGAAATAGAAATGAAGTCAGCAAGCGTTGATATGGATATTCAAACTGTCGACAATCAGGTTGACCCTAAATTTCTTGAAGAGCTGAGGGATGTCTCCGCCACTACAACGTCAAAGATTGATGGATATTGTAATCTGATGGCAAGGCTTCTCACTTGTTTCGGGAACTTTCAGCTTTCTGCATTGGCTGAATTTTGGTGCGTTCATCAAGAAGTTTATTTGTGCGGTCAATTGTCGAAACTTTTACTTGAATCAAAGGACGAGACAAGTTTTAAAAATGGGCTTATTTGTTTGAAAAAAGGTATGACAAGTCTTGTGGACAATGTAATTTCAAGAACGATATGGACAATAAGTGATATGCGGACTTTTCAACTTTTAATCTGGGCATTGGAAGGAAAGGCCGCAGATGAGAAATCTTTGCGTGCTCTCCTGCGATCTCTTCTACCGACGATGCTGTCAACTATATCCCGCCACTCCTTCACAGGGTCCTTTGTCTGTAAGAACCCGATTTCTTCGTCTCTTGAGATGCCAGATATGTGGTCAACTGATGATGTTCAGAGTGACATTTTAATCAACAATTTCGATGTAACTTACAAGGAATCTGTTATCGGGAATGCAAGACTTCGCCAACCAGTCCGCACTGAAATTTTGCTGAAGATGATTGGAATTCAACTATCGTTCGCTACGAAGCCCTCCAGGAAAAAGTTTTATACAATTGAAAATGCAGTTCATCGTGAGCATCAGTCGAAAGAAATATTGAGTATGCTCTCGACCCTCTTTATTTCTCCCTCAAATGCACGGTTGTATGTTTATCACTATACATTATTTGACATTTTATCTGCTGTCAATGACCTTTATCAGGATCATACAATGAACGAAGTGTTGTCTCTCGTTAAGAATACAAATGCTTTGGCCGAATCAACTTTTGAGCAAATCAAATCTGCTGGTGAAAGAATCAATAACAATTTGTTCAGTCTATTTTGGCATGATTTGCTCCTGCCCTTGTTAAAATCTATGCATCTTGCATGGCTGGAAGACGACAACACAGTTGAATATGACAAACAGTGCTCTCGAGCATCGATCTTTCTTGGATTATTGAGGCTCAATCTGCTCGCACCATGCAGTCCATTGGATCCGGGAACGGCTCCTCTTGCAAAAGTGTCGCTGATCACAAAACAATTAGTCTGTATACAATCAAGGCTCATAGCGACAAGGCTCAATAGTGGCTTTGTTCAGGGAAATTTTGCTCCAGACACTGATGCAACTAGATCTCTCCTTGAGAGTGCCGAATATCTATCGAAAAAGAAAGCATCGCAGCAGAAAAAGGTAATAGAACGAATTGAGTCTGCTCCTGCCTTCAATGAGTTATTTCGAGAAACTAGGGAATTTTTGAAGACAGCATCGGGAAATGCTACTGTACTTGATCTTCTAGAGAAATTACCTTTAATAGGGACTAACGAAAACATGGCCGGGAGTATCGAGCGACGTGCTGAAAATTGGCAGCGCACTGCTGCCGCATTTTGTAGACGACTGTCAGACGATTTCGGTGCGTATGAGGACGTAACTACATCTATAATAGATTCTGTTCGAATGATACAAGATGGGTTATTTGATTTGACACATCAAAAACTAAGGTCAGATGAAAAACAAGAACAATTCTGGGGAAGCGTTTTCGATGAGTTGTATAAGTATCCGATGCAACAAGACGCGAATTCCATTAAAGTGCTTCATGGTGCAACAGGAATTCAGAAGTTTGAGTCAAATTTAGAATGTACGAAGGCCTTGTCGATTGCAATTTTGGCGCGTCTATTCCTCAAGAACGAAACTGTGGGATTGGACGAAGATGAGATAGTGGTTTGCTCCCGTTTGTTCACGAGCGTGACAAGTGCATATGATGGGTTCGTTGGTGAGAAAGAAGACTCCAGTTTGGAGGAAATGCAGGAAAGAGCTTTCAGAGAACAATTTCCTGATCATCGAAAAGAATTCAGTGCTATCTTACAAGACACATCAGAAGATTTAGATGAAGAAGATACCATCAATGCTACTAGCGAAGACGAGCTTGGTACCAAGATGGAGGACAGGAGTCTAACAGAAACGGAAATTGAATTGCTGTATCAAATTTACAATGGTATTTTCTCTGGGAAGAAAATTTTCCATTTAGATTCTATTCGAAAGATTGCTTATCATTCGTCTTACGCCGCTGCCCACGAGTTGCAGGAAAATTACGGAAATTCTGCTAACTCTCGGCTAAGATCAGAATTGATGGGAGGACATGCCTTCGCTATTTGTCTCTCGTCAGTTCCTAAGGGTAAATTGACCGTACCATACTCTCATTTCCGACAATCGTCCACAGTCGTAGACTTCCATAACGAAGCATGCCCTKCAATGGCTCTATCAGCAGCGAGGCCACTTGCGACGCTCATGGCTCGTACTACCCAGCTACTTACAGCGTTTCCTGGTCACTCAATCTTGATTGGTTTGGGCAAAATCTGCGAAAAAGTGCACAAACTCAATATAATGACAACTCCAATTGGCAAAGTAATGACGGGCCTTGAGGTCATTCTCAAGCAAGCCCAAGACTGGGAGCAGCATGCGAGTGAAAAGGTTAAAATTGGATCACCACTTGAAGCCATTGGGCGTCTCATTTCGGAATGGAGGAAGTTTGAATTAGAGAGCTGGGGAAAATTAATCCAAGGACGACATCTTAGACACACTAAGAGAACACAGCAACACTGGCTACGGTTACGTGGCATTCTTGATGTGCTACCTCTCCAAGATCATGGTCAAGACATACATAATAATTCTAACCTCGTCATCACAAGAATAGGTTGCAGCACTCCACAATGGGTGTGGAAAGGATCTTCCAGTACTGGTTCTGAGCTATTTGACTTGTTTGGTGACGCATACCTGGAAAAGCTGAAAGATCTCGTAAAGGCACTTGATACTTTCATGCTAACATCCACGTTAGGAGAATTCGAAGAGCGACTTCGAATATTGAGAACATGTGCCGACGAAAGCTCAACGATTCTTGGTGGCATCGAAACGGAATCATTATATCAGTTACAGCAATCGAGGATATTGGACTCAATTTGCACGTATTATGAGCAATATTTGCCGAGATTGGTCCAGAAATTGGCGGACCTGAGGGCACCAGTAGAAGAAAAGCTGAAGAACGAGACTAAACTTGCCAAGTGGGATAATCAGTCGTACTATGCACTCGCAGAATCCACGGAGAGAAACCAACGTAAATTGATGAAAATTCTGTCGGAATTCGACGAGTCATTAAACCTCAATGTAGGCATTATAATTCAGGAGGAGGGTTGTTCAGGACTGCGTTCCAGTATCGAGGCACACGACGAGTTCTGTGCGACCTTCCCATCTTTTACATCCATGTTTCCGATGCAGGGCTTAAAAACAGAATATGCGTCCAAGTCAAGTTCCAACACACAATTTTCCTTTGACCTCGTAATGGTTGACGAAGGACTGATCAATTATCCAAGAGATGGGCATGTATGGAAGATATCGAAGTATGCGCAGAAAATGAAGAGGTTGCATGCGAAATATTGTAAGAATCCTGTCGAGTCAACCCTACGTTTGGGTGTCAATACAGCTAGGTCTTTTTGCCAGGCAATATTCGATCGAGTCGAGTCACTTCGAGAAAACAGTACCAGACCTATGAAAGAGCGAGCTCTTGTGGATCTTTTCCGTGAGTTGAAACAAAACGGATTGACAACTACGAAGTGGTCAACACCAAGTCAGTTGAAGGACATCGAGCAAATATTCCTCTTGCCGACACCCAAACTTGATGTAGAAGGAGGAAGTGAAATGTGTGGCGCAGCTTTAAATAGAGCCGAGCAATATTATGTGAAGTGTATCTCTGAAGTACATGCATTGAGGTCTGAAACCATGATGTTGGGTAGTAAGCATATGAGTAAGCGTGAAATGGATTCAATGGTCAATCTAAGCTACAGTGGTATTCATCTATTAACCCAGCAACGATGCCTATTAACGAAACTTCTGTGCGAGAACCGTCGTTTGAAAGAATGGATTACATCTGTACAAAGTTGCAAGCAAAGCTTGCCGCCTTATCAGTCACAATTGGAAAGGGCTTTGAAGTCATTTCGAAAGCGACGAGCTTTCGCTTTCGAAAGTTTACGGCAACTCACTCTTCTTTTGCAATCGACCAAACCCTTTGTAAGCGGAGACGAGAAAAGTAATTGGATACGCGATACTATATCAAACCTTGAATCGCTTCAACCATCGGGTACTAAGAAACAATATGATTACTTTGTCACCTGGGACACACTGCAAGAAATTGAAAAGGAGAAAATGGTATTACGACAGGCAATGGAATTTGTTGAAGAGAGTTTTCGCCAGTGCAAAGACCTTTCATGCCTCCCGTTGGATCCGTTTGATGCATGCCTTAAAAACATCAAAGATGCACACGCATCAGCAATAGCTTGCACTGAGATTTCAAAGAAGTCAAATAAAATGCGTATGGAAATGCTGGCACCAAATTCGGCGGGATTTTCCGAAAAGATATCGTTGCTCATAGAAAAGGTACTTGTGACTTATCAAAATTTGAACAAAGAATCAAACTGTAATGATCGGTCTCAAGAAGACACACGAAATGACGACGACGATCAACCTTGGTGTGATCTTGCTATCTGGGATTGTCACAAAAACTTCCTGAAATCGTATTCCAACTTGAATATGAAACAGCTTAATCGACATCTTTTTGATTTGATTGAGGATCTACGCGAACTTCACAATGACGAATCTTTCTCAATTGATGATCGTGTCTGCTGTATTCAATTAGTATCAAATACAAGCGTCCTTGTTGCGTATTTGCATCAGTTGTCGCAATCTTTGCTTCAAGATTACTTGCATTTTTATATGTCGACTGCAAAGTTAAATTATGTCGTACTGCGACTGTTCAGATCCTTGGTTGCAAAAGGTTACTGCTCGGACAAAACAGCTGAAGAAGATGGAGAGGGCGAAGGGGACATCAAGGGAATGACCTTCGATGATGACAACGATGGTACTGGAATGGGAGAAGGTGACGGTAAAAAAGATGTCACCGATCAAATTGAGAATGAAGATCAATTGGCGGGATTGAAATCTGACACGGATAACGAAGATGAGAAGAAGCAAGACGAGTCAAAACAATTGAACGAAGAGGAAGAAGATCAAGGAATGGAAATGGAGGGTGACTTCGATGGGGAAATGTTCGACTTACCAGAGAAACCACAGGATGAGAATGAAATGGAGGAACAGGAGGGAGAGGAACTAGATACTGAAATGGGAGAAGATACAAATCAGGACGACCAAGTAGTCGATGAAAAAATGTGGAATGACAGTGATGATGAAGATGACATCAACCAAGACGAAGAGAAATTTGAAGAAGATGGAGGAGTCAAAGGAGAAGCTCTTGAGGATATGATGCGAACCAAAGACGAAGATGAAGAAGGAGATGAACCAGATGACGGAGATAAAAATCCTTCAAGTCAGGATGCAGAGGAAAATAATATCGAGGCTGACCCCGACGAAGGCGAAGATAAACAGGATGACCAAAGAATAAACGAGGACACCGAAGACCGGTATGAAGATGACCACGACGTTAACGTAAGAGGTGACGAAAACGAAGAGGAACCCCAAGAAGATGGCGACGACCAAATGCAACTGGATGAGAACCTTGAGCTAGACGATGAAGACATAGATAATGGTGAGGACGAAACTGGGGCGGAAGATACTGGTGGAAATGACGAGACTGGTTCTGTTTCTGACGGACCGGAAGATTACGATGAAACCCTTGGTGAGAATGATTCTGATAAGGAAGATGAAAACGAAATTGAGAACGAAGAAGCAGAAGACGAGAAGGCAGCAAATCAAGCGGAAGGACCAATGGACTTAGAAAATGAAGCAGGCGAAGAGCCAGAAAAGGATGAGGACAAGACAGACGAACCGCCAGTAGACAAATCGAGTGAAGACCCCCCAGCTGAAGAGGCCCACGGAATTCGTTCAAAAGATGGAACCGATGCAATTGTCGACGATGGCGATGAAGTTGACGAAGAGGAAGATGCGAACGAAGAAAATGAAGCTATTGGAAACCCTTCTGGTGGAAAATCAGATAGTAACCAAGCAGACATGGACGGCAATGATGGCGGTGGATACAGCGAAGATCAGGTAAACGAAAATAACGATACAAATTCCAAAGATAGTTCTCGCGATATTCCAAATCCATTCAAAGATCCTGGAGATGCTTCTAAATTTTGGCACAGAAAACTGAATATAATTGACACAAATGATTCTCCAGATGAGCCCAATTCAGAAAATATCGAAATGGACGACAAAGATGATTCTCAAAACGAAAAAGATGGCGACTACGAATACTCCGGAGACCCGAATGATTCAACTCAGGTTCTTGGAGAAGTCAAGGAGGAGGAAGCCGTGGAAATGGACCTTGAGGATAACGCAGATGATAAAGATATGGATGAAGACAAGGGTGAAGACCAAACAGAAAAGGTAGAAAACGAGGCTGACATGACAAAACAAAAAAAGAATGAGAAAAGCCAGTCCCGGCAAAAGAATCCAAAATCTCTTATGGATCAAGAAGAGCAAATCAATGACAACGACCTCAATGAGGAAGGTTCTATTATGGATGAAGCGGTAAAAGAAGAATCTGAAGGTGAGGATACGGTAGAAGAAGACGAAGATTCAGACAATGATAATTTAGGAAGTCGTGTTGTGTCTGATCTTTCCAAGCTAAAAATGGAAGGGGAGCAGCCCTTAGCTGAAACTAGCTCTCGACTTGTTCAAGATGAATACATGTCAAAACTCACAAGCTTTGAAGCTGAAGAAGCTCGGTCGCATTGGCTGAGCATTCAAGGCGAAACTCAAAACTTATCCAGAAGACTCTGCGAAAAGCTTCGGCTGGTAATGGAACCATTGGTTGCATCAAAACTTCGGGGAGACTATCGAACTGGAAAACGAATCAACATGAAACGCGTCATTGGATACATTGCGAGTGGATACCGAAAAGATAAAATATGGTTACGCAGAACAAAGCCTGCGAAACGCAATTATCGAGTTCTCCTGGCCGTCGATGATTCTGAGAGTATGAACAAGTCAGGAGCAGGTGAAATTGCGCTGCATGCGATGGCCACTGTAGCAGTTGGAATGAATCAGCTAGAGATTGGTGAACTTGGCGTAGCAAGTTTTGGCGATGATATGAAACTCGTGCATCCTTTCCACATGCCTTTCACATCTGAATCTGGAGTAAGTGTCGTCCGCAATTTCAAGTTCGAACAGCAACGCACCCGCATTGCAATGTGTGTTGAAAGTGCTATGGCAGCTCTTGACGATTCTGGAGATCAGTCTTCCATGCAACTTGTGTTCCTCATTAGTGACGGGAGGATCGAACGAGATAGCAGAGCAGCCTTAAAGCGTCTGATTCGAGAGATGATGGAACGCAATATTCTGCTTGCTATGATAATTGTAGAGGGGAAAGGGAAAAAGAAAGACACTATATTGAACATGAAAGAGGTCACGTTTGAAAAAGGGAAGCCAGTGGTTAAGCGGTTTATGGATGATTATCCATTTCCTTACTACATCGTCCTGGACGATGTGGCGTCATTACCCGAGGTACTGGGCGATTCATTGAAGCAGTGGTTTGAAATGCTTACTCAATTGCAGAGATCCTAACCAAATTTACAAAACTGAAATGATCAAGAAAGAGACATACTTGAGCAATTATTTTTGGCAATTGTTTAAATTTAAATTTTCAGTGTGTGCGTGTGCGTGTGTGTATGCATATGTGTACGGATGTGAAGTGCATCGTACACATCAATGGTTCAAACGGAGAAAGAATAGAATATGACTATGCCGCGTTATCGAGTCGCGTAATAATGCGCATTGCGTGAAACTTCGCGGCTCTTTCTCTGCCTCGATCCTGCTGACATTTGAAATCGTTGACCGAGCCCTTGAGGTCTTCCATCACCATCGGTTCCTGCTGTGTCTTCCTGCTACTAGTTGCGAATGCCTCTCCTCCGCTTGACACGAGAAAGCTTCTGGCTTCATGTTTTCCGAATGTCTCGTCATCCCTCCTGTTTCTTCGGGTTGCTTGTATCATCATTGACTGCACACGACGATTGGCGTTCTTTTCTCGTTCTTGATCGAAGGCACTCTTGTCCAAGAATTGTCGTCTGAGCTTTTCTTGCGACCTTCGGTCGGATTTTTCCGCTTCCTTTTGCAGACCTTGACCACCGAGCTCACTCGGAAGAGCAGGTGTCTGCAGGGAAGAAGGAGGAGTGGAGGGGGGCGACGACCGAATTTCTACAGACGTTTTGCTGTTGGGACTCCCATGGATAGAGGCATGCGACTGCGGAGAAATCGTAGCATAGTTCGAAGACGACGGTGAAGCGTTCCATTGTCCAGGACTTATCATAGGCGACTGGTAGTAGTTACCATCGCTGTTGACAGGTGAATTATTGTCATGAGAATATTGTTGACCATAGTGGCCATTATCGTACGACATTGGTCCTTCCATCATGGTGGTTTGCTTCTATTAAGCTGTACTATTTTGTTCAGTATACGTAGATGCTTTCGAGATATTCCKGTGAATATTGTGTCAAGGTCGAAGGCGTTGCGAACGAGCATCTTTTGAAACACACATGGTGCAAACTGCTTGTCAAATTAAAATCCGCACACTTGAGGTATTTTTGTCCATACTCTGGACAGATCGTGTAACACGATTGCTTTTGACAGCCAAACGGGACTTCAATTTGGTTTGAGGTACCTGTACTCGTACGGCAACGTACCATGAACCGTATCTACTGTGCGGTACGAGATACGGTACTGTAGGTCATGAAGAACTTCTGTTCTTCACACAAAGGTTCGAGAAGATGCGAAGCACCGAATGGATGCAAAATACTTGTATTTTTGTACTTGTTTCTGCTCGTACGGTAAATGGTACATAATCCTACGGTACGAATTCAAGAGAGCCCCGGATCGCGCGTTTTTAATTTGCGCGATTGCCAGACTACTACTACTAGTACTTCTAGTAAAAAAAAAGCTTTATTGGTGACAATACTACCGTAGTACTACTAGTACCGGTATTAGTAGTAGTAGTAAATGAAAATTGTACTATTAGTACTACTAATTTTAGTAGTGTACTACTACTAGCATAGGATGATGATGAAGGTCATGCACAGCAGAGTGTCATCTGCCACTCCTACTAGTACTACTACTACTACTACTACTACTACTACTACTACTAMTACTAATACTGCAAATTACCACTACTACTACTACTAGTAGTAGTAGTGTTGCCTTACTAGTAAATTAAGGTCACACTGAATTGTTGCATAGTAGTAGTAGTAGTGGATGCTCCTCCTCTACTACTACTACTACTAGCTACTATGAAGCAGCAGCATTGTTGCCAAAGAGGATAGTAGTAGTAGTACTACTACTAGTACTAGCTTGTATACAACAAGAATCAGGAACTACTAGTAGTACTAAGAAACAAACAACCAGTACTACTACTAGTAATAGTATGGAATGGAATTGAGGAGGAGGAGTTTGAAGATGATGACATTAACAACAACAACCATCCTCACCATCCAGCAGCACATCATCATCATTCTTGTTTCTTCTTCTTCTTCTTCTTGTGGTCCTCGTCGTCATCATCCTCCTCCTCCACCAAATACTAGTACTAGTGCTAGTGCTACTACTAGTAGTAGTACTAGTATAGAAGAATGACAACAAATTAAAGGAACTAATTCCCACTCAGTTCAGTTCTGAAGGATGGATGGTGCAAACAGCAGCTATGTGGATATGAGAATGATGAGGACCTGCTGAAAATGCGGACAACAACAACAACAAGTAGTATTACAACGTACCGTACGGTAGGATCGCACTTACAACGAAGTTTACTACCGTACAGTAGTTCTCGTACTCGGTATTCTACTCCGGTAAGAATTGAAGAGCATCGAAAAAGAGGTACTTACTGTAGTACGGTATGCAGAAAAGCGGCAAAATGGTTCGCATGATCTGATTTCCGCGCATACCGATTTTGGAGCTGTTTCTAGCGTCTCATTTTTTCATTCGTTACAAAAGTAAAGAGTTTGAATTTTCTGGGCCTACAATGAAGACAGCTAGAGACTGTGTTGTCGTTATTCCCACTTGCGAATTTAATTATTTGAAAACCGACGTTTGAATAGAGTGAGTAGTTTTGAATGAAGGGGCGCCAAAACCTAGCCCATTGATTTGAAATTGACCGTTTGATGTCCCGCAACGACATTCCGTTGCAGCCTTATCAGTGAAGACAGAAGCAAGATGCTCAATCAAATCCTACCCAAACTAGCGACAACACAGTTGGTCTTCCCGGACACACAGCACGAGTACTACTAGGTCTTGATTTTACAAATCTAATTAGCAAACTATTTAGATTCGATCGGGAGAAGCAGATCAAACCATTGTAGCAACAGACCAAACATCTCACTTAATTTCTTCGAACAACATAAGAACGGAAGCCAATCACACAGCATGGAGAACTTTTCTGCAGACGGCAATATCTTATCATCGTTCGTATCAGACGGGCTTCCCTCAGATTTTTTTGTCGACGAATCGGCAATTGGTAAGTGCGGGTATTTAATTTTCCTACTTTACATTGATCCCTTTCACACTTTATTTCACCAGGTGTAATAGCTGTTTGTGACACTAACAAATTATATTTTATTCACGATCAATTTAGGGCCAAGAGAATCTCAACCGGAAACACAATTTGAGATTGATGGCGAGGAGGCTTTCCCGATGCATCGGAAGTTGCTTAGGCGGCGGCACGTACGAAAGCTCCAGAAAAGCAAAGAACGGGAGCGCCAGCGCAAGGAGGAGGAAGAGAGACAGAAGGAATTGACCAGAGATTTGGATCGAAAGCGGAGAGCAGAAAAGCGTCGATCATTGCGCCAAAGGGGAAAGACTTCACAGACGAAGTCGAACGCGAAGCGGAAGCTATATTCCACGGGGTTTAAGGGAATCGAAAATCCTATCACATTACCAGTGCCATTACACGGGAACTCTTACAAAACGGGGACAATCAACCACAACAACAACAGCTGCAACAGCGTTTTGTTGCATTATTTATCATCACCTACTTCTGTCTTGGGTCTTCATCGGACAATCGTTTCGACACCAACCAAATATTCACCACAGGCTATTAGCCACCGTAGTAATGCTATGATGACGGTGTTGTCTGCTGGGTCTAGATCGATCGAAATGGCCTTTCCACGCCAGGCTTCTTTCTCGCTTCCTGAATTTTCTCCTGTTCGGCCTACGAAATTCCGCAAATTACAGCTATGAGAGTGAATTCGAGCCGTAGCCCTTTCCTGTCACCGAAAGAAGTGGAAGCAACAAATCTATCATTTTGATCATTGCGTAACCGCTTGTTTCTATTATCGATTGATCATTATAGATCGTATTTCGTGTTACAGATTTGGGAACTGCATCACCATAATATGAGCAGGATTAAGATGAAATGTCTTGCGTTGTATTGCATCGCATTTTGAAGACTACGTGTGCGTAGCGCATGAAGGGATCCACAACGATGCAATCTTTGGACGGGATGTTATGCTTTGTAAGCTGGCATTCGTGTGACAAAGAGCAAAGCATATTGATAAAGACCATTCTAATAATGCTGGAAATATTTGAGAGGACTAAACCATTGAATGGACCAACGAATCTCTTATTTGATTCCGACGATAACCAAAAGACAAAGAGTCTGCGGTAAATGATCGCTTTCCTATAATACATTGATAATAGTCAACTCAATTATCTACAAATCTATTTTTTCCTCCTCAAATAGAGAACAGAAGACGCCAAAAAGCACGTTGCCGATACCGAAGTTGCAATCGTCAATATTTGCGACCAACGATAAAGTTCGTCGTCTGATATGGATTGCATCCATGGCAATAGGCGCGACGGAGCATCTTTCTCTCGCGCAAGAGATTGCTTGGCTTGAGCTCTTTTCTTGGACTCGGCAGCGACCGTTTCGACCACGGCGTCTGTTTTGCGTTTGCTCGGGCGATCACCCCCGTTCTCGGCCACCACGTCTTCAATGTCTACCGCTTTCGCTTCGTCTTCCTCGTATGCCAGCGCTGCTGCCTTTTTCTCGTCTTTTTCTTTGTTCTTCTTCTGCACTAGTTGCCCGCAGGCCGAAGCAATGTCAGCCCCCATCGTCCTTCGAATCGTCACAAAGGCTCCGTACGACTGGACAATGTTTCGGAACTCCAGCATGTGTTGGTCGGAAGGGCACTGGAGTTTGTCCTTGACGTCCGTCGCGTTGTACGGAATGAGATTGACCACGAGGTGCCGGTTCTCGCATAGTTTCCCCAGTTCGTGGGCGCACTTGAACGAAGACGATTCTCCTTCCAGCATGACGTATTCGATCATGGCTCGTCGTCGAGACGATTCCTTCATGCGCTCTTCCGCCGTGTACGTTTTCAGCGGGTATTGTTGTTCTTCCGATGCCCCCCCGTCTTCCAAAGCAACGAGCTTCGTTTTGTTTTCTCGTTCCCGCTTCTGATTCAGGTATGCCATCATGTGGTTGTCGAGCGCATCGATCAGTCCTTCGATGGGGTATCGCGAAGCGGTCGGAACGATGGCCTCTCTATCCTTTTGATTGGSAGCGTGGAGTGACAAGGCTAGCGAGACCTCGGGGAGTTCCTTTGTCAGTCGTCGAATCTGCGAAATAAGACCCACTGTAGAGACGGTCACCCTGCCGTGGGCCAAATTCCATCGGGATCGGTCGATCATGGTTCGACAGGCTTCCGTAACGTTGTTGTAGTTGTCAAGGGGTTCTCCCATGCCCATGAAGACCACGTTCCGCACCGACTCGAGCCGTTTCTCCTTTTTCTTCCCGTTTTCATTGCTGTTGCCGAGAGCACTGCTGTTTTCTTCGTCGTCCTTCGCTTCCTCGATGCGGGCGTTGCTCTCTTCCGCCAGCAACCGATCGGCATGCACCAATTGCTCCAGGATTTCGCCGCTKGTGAGATTTCCGGACAGCCCCATGGTTCCCGTCGCACAGAAGGTGCATCCCATGGCGCAGCCGCATTGCGACGAGACGCACAAACTGGCCCTGCCCGCTCCCTTTTGCAGGTATCGCATCAACACGGATTCAACGACGAAGCCATCGTACAGTTCGACGATCAGCTTGGTCGTCGATTTGTCGGCAGAAGTAAATTGTTCCTTCACACGTGACGTGGTGTTGACAAAGTCGCGAGTCGAGGCAATGAAATCAAGAAGAGATTTTGGAAGCGACATTTTGTTTTTCGTCTTCTTTTTCTTCTTTAGGTTGGGGTTCGCTTGCGGTTGCAATTGCGATTGGGATGGTCGGGCATTGTCTCTTCCGTCGTTGGCGTAGTAGTTTTCCACGAACTCTGGGAGTGGAGGGTAGCGTTGTTTGTGCAAAGCTTTGTAGAATTCATCGATGTGCATGCGTTTGACCGAGATGCCAGCTTCTTCCAGGGCTTCCGTCAAGGCTTTGCGATCGAGAATCGAATTTGGGCTGGGAGCCTTGCGTCTCCCCTTAACCTTGCCTTCGTACCCCATGATGTTTCAACAAAAATATTTGGCCAGCGAACACGCCAAACAAATTTAAAATCCGGTGTAAAGGATGCGAAATTCGAAAAATCGAGGCAGGTTGCTTCGACTATTCTTCACTACCGCAGAGTTTGAAAGTTCCGGGTCGACGCTGTTGTGAATAACTAAAATTATTTACTTGTTGGAGGGAGGAAACATGTAGTAAGTTATTGCTGAAAGTACTCGTACTTGTACGAGCAAAAAGTCGTTCCGCACCATGGGGTTCTTCGTTGTCAGAACGAAGGCAGAAAATTGAAGAGTGGTTTGAAAAATCTCAAAACGGTTAGACTGACAGACCTTTTGGTAATGGATGAAGGGGAATGGGCTGCTGAAGTGCATACCGTACGGTAGTACTACTACCACTAGTAGTAGTACTAATAGCAGTTCTGCTGTGTGTACGCAGTGTCGAGTGCAAGGGAGAGGTAGACAAAATAAAATTAAAAGAATGAAGAAGAAGGCAATCATTTAGTAAATCACCAGCCTGCCTGTTTCTTGTTTCTGAAACAGTACTACTAGTAGTAGTAGTACTACTATGAATGGTGGAGGAATTCATTCTTCTTGGTGATTTGTTCGCTTCTTCTTCTTCTTACTACGTCACACAAACCGATATAATGGTGTTTTAAGTTTCCTGCGTGCA